CCCTCGGCGCAGCCGGCCCCCTCGGCCCCTCTCCCCCGCCACGGCCCGCTCATGCTGCTGCTGCCTCTTGGTCCTGGGGCTCCGACTCCCGGTCCTGGGGCTCCTCCCTACGGTCCTGCTGCTCTTTCTCTTGTGACCCCAATTCCTTTAGCCTCAGCTCGATCCCCAGCCATCGCAGCTCTGCCGGGCTGGACCCCGTCCTGGATGAACCGCGGCTGGCAGAGTGTGGCCTGGTGGGCACCGTGTCTGTCTGGTGGTCACCTGCCTCACGCTCCCTGGGGGGGTCTGGCTGCTCCCCACTGGGCTGGCTGCTTCCCATGGGGACAAGATCCTGGCCCTGTGGCTGGTCATTCTCTGCCAGCTGGGCAATCAGCTGGGCCTTGGTTGCTTTCTGCACAGGCAAGCCCCTCTCTCTGCACAGCCCCACCAGTTCTGCCTTCAAGAGTCGGGCGTAGGCCATCCGCCCGTTGGGCCCCTCGGTGCAGACTCACCAGTCTAGTGCTGCAGCGTCCCACGATTCCCAGAAATCACTTTGCTCTGTCTCCAGCACGCCTGAAAATTTCAACACAAAACAACTTTGAAAATATATACATTATAAAAAGCTATATTTGATTACATTAACCTGAACCCCCCAAAATATACCCATACACACTTACAAAAGTTTTGTCTTGATTTTAACAGATTTCTGATTGAACTGCTGAGACTGCTTGATGAGCCCTAATGATTCCAGTGTTTCTGGATCCAGACGCTCCTTTAGGACAGTGTCTGAAACAAGGTACTGCACAAAACAAGAATGCAACATACATGTCACATATGTGAACTGATAAGTCTATTAAACTAAATAGCATATGACCTTCACCATGGCTTATCTGTGTATGTATTTTAACAGTGAAAATAAAGATAATGAAAATACAAAACATATCATACAAACTCGGTTTCAAAAAGAATAATTGCGTGCAACCAAGAAGCTACAATTGTGCAAATGATTTCTACAATTCTCCACTGACAACTCTGGAGTTTGCAATGTGTAGCACCATAGTGTTTTCTTTTTTAGTGTGATTTACCCTTTTACTTCCCTACTTGAAGCATGAGCAGCACTTCAAGATGATGTGCAAAGCTATCTTGTTACAATGATGAAGTGATGGGATCTGCTGCTTGCAGTCCCATGCAAGACATTCAGTGCTTCTAGAGGCACTTTGACTAACAAAACAAAAACGTTACACATTGCAACCAGGAATGTGAATGTATAACCGTGTAAAAGGTTAACCAAAAAGCCTGGGCTTATCAGTTAACATTCACAGTTACATGCAGGCTCCTGCTCTGTTCCTGGAGTGCCGGCTGCCACCCCACCCTGCTGCTTCTGTATCAGAGTCAGCATCACAGAGTGGTGTCCCAGGTGTGATGTAGTGGGGGTACCTGGCTGGGGCTGTGGACAACCTTTGCTGTCTTGCATGACCCAGCAGGGCAGGGGATGGGTCATTATGCAAAGAGGGTGTCTCAACCTGTCTGACCAGCTACCCCCCAGGGAGAGGAACAAAGGAAGGTGGATGCTGCCCTGGCCGGGGGGCAGGGCTGGAGGAGAGTTAGTTAGTTTCTTGTCGGGGAGCATGGAGGAAGCAGCCTCAGCAACAGGCTGGGGGGGTTAGAAGCCGAGACCCCCCCCATATCAAGGGGGCTGAGGCATCCTAGGCCTGCCCTGTAACCAGATTCCATCTGTGCTGGGCTGTATCCTGGGGAAGCAATAAACCCCCCCTGTTCTACTGGCTGGCGGAGTCTGTTCATGCCACTACGGGGGTGCAGGAGACGGGGGACCCCAACGTGTCATCACACCAGGCAGACAGGCGGAGCCCAGGACACAGGCGCAGGGCCGACCCCCAGGCTGGGAGCAGGGTGACAGGCGACAGGATGTACCAGGCAGACAGGCAGACCCCAGGACACAGGCGCAGTGGTTTCCAGAGATGCTGCACCTGGATCCAAAGTGCCCCAGGACTGGTGATGCCCCCTCTGGGGGCTGCTCCCTGCAGGGAAGCGGCCCCCATGGCGCCGGGCCGGCTGTGTCTCCCTGCAGCTCCAGCGTCTGGCTCCCCGGTGCCTGTGGCTCAGAGCCCGGGTCTGTCTGTCTTCCTGTGTGACTGACACCCCATATCCTGCCCCGGGAACCCTGCTCCCTGACCCCCGGCTGGAGCTCCCCCTGGAGCACGGCAGGCAACGGAGCCACATTGAGCCTAGTCGGACGAGAATCCCTGGAGAACCCAGCCGGGGAGTCCTGAGCACCCCGGACAGCATCAGCCCTCGTGTGCCCGGAAATTGCCCTCCCCATCCAGGAACTGGTGCAGCACCCAGAGAAACTGAGGCACGCACGCAGGGTGTGACGGCGCGTTGGGGTCCCCCGTCTCCTGCACCCCGAAATGGCACAAACAGACTGCACCAGCCAGTAGAATTGAGGAAGTTTATTGCCTCTCCAGGATACAGCACAGCACAGATGTAGTCTGGTCACAGAGCTGGGCTAGGATGCCTCAGGCCCCCTTGAGATGGGGGAGACTGGGCCCCTAAACTCCAGCTCCTCTCCCTAGGCTGTCTCCTCCATCCTCACAGACAGCCACCAACCAACTAACTTCCAGCCCTGCCCCCCAGCCAGGGCAGCATCCACCTTTCTTTGTTCCTCTCCATGGGGGGTGTCTGGCCACTGGTTCAACAAGTTTGGCATCACCTCTGCATAGTGAGGTTTTCCCTGCTGGGTCTTGCTCCAGACAGCAGGGGTCACCACAGCCCAGCAAGTACCCCCACTACGTCACACAGGGTCACTGCTGCATGGTGGAACCGACGTGCACCAGCACTAGGGCAATCGCACCCCTCGGTCTCTGGTCTCAGCCAGTGGGGCTGGCTGGCTGGAGGCTGCAGGCCACACGTGGCCGGGTGCCAGGGAGGCTCCGACAGGCTTCCCCAGCGCCTGTCCTGGGGGAGGAGCTGCCTGCTGGGCCCGGGGACCGGACGACGCTTTCAGCCAGTGGGGCTGGCTGGCTGGAGGCTGCAGGCCACACGTGGCCGGGTGCCAGGGAGGCTCCGACAGGCTTCCCCAGCGCCTGTCCTGGGGGAGGAGCTGCCTGCTGGGCCCGGGGACCGGACGACGCTTCCCGGCTCGGTGGGGCCGAGAGGAGGCAGGGGACGGCGGGGGGGGGGGG